GACAACACTCCTTCCCGTGTACTTTAAGGTTGGTAAGGGAAAACTGTTCAAAATACCCCGATTATACAGAAATCAAGTATAGCACTAGGAGATCCACGAATCTCTGCGCTTTACTACCAAAGGACAGTGACATTTATTCCCGAACGAACCTAAGACGCCTAACCTTTGCACAGGAATCCGCTTTAGGAATTCAGGATGGGTGGCGCTTCCGTGTACAGTGATTTAAGTGCATGTATAATGCAACCTTAGAATTTCTACACCCCAGGAGTCAGAGCCATCGTTTTAGCACGACAGCAGTTCGTTCTCACTATCCGTCAACAGCAGCAGTTATGACATGCAGATGCACTACCAGGTTTGGTAAAACATCAGAACTTATGGGATGGAAAGAGCCCATACACACGCCAAAATGGATAAGGCATTTCAAGTCATGACATCCGTTTACATTCATTACCGACAAATATTCAGAACCTGAAAGTCATTCTCAAAACGTCCTAACGGAGGAATAAACACTTCTGAAGGGGAGGGAGCAGAACACTCTTACTACATTAGCTAGATCGATGTTCTATTAACAAGGAGTTAAACTGCATTGCTAGCTGATGAAAACTGCCTCGAGAGCAGCTATATTTAAGACGGCCGCCGTCAAAAATGGACCAGTTCAGCATAGCTACCACGTTTAACGATGTCAACGTGTATCTAGTACCGGAACTCAAAGGCCCTGTCGTGCATTCGCCTGTCGCAGCTACTTCGAAGACGGTCTTCTTTTTTAAGAAAACTTGCTATCGAACTGATGATATCTTCAAATCCATCTTAGTGTAACAGATGCAGTTGCTCATGGATTGCGGTAAGTGATGACCTGACTTGAGATTGCAGAGGTCAAAACTCCCACCGAACCACAGGATTAAGACTCACTCACTTCTAGACTTTGTCAATACCTCCGTCCTATAGTTTGCACTATATACACAGTTCGCGAAAATGATAATGCTATATTTTCGACACTACCGTGGACTATCACACATCAATTCGGTTAACTGGTTCACATAGCGATTCGAGGCGAATCACAACAAAATTGCACCAACTTCCACGACCATCTGAAGATCTGACACAATCCAGGAACGAACTTAAGCAGGAAAGCTAAACTGTTCGATTGCTTTTGGAAAAATTTTACAATTTTTAATCGATTAGGCCATTGGATCCAAATACCAAGTTAATTGTATCATTGTGGCTTACCACGGTCCAAAGATTGGTATTTCGAGAGTTTGATCAAATTTAGGCACCCAAAAAAGCCATTCTCGCTTTGATATCATAAAGAAAAAGACGACCGAGAAAGAACAAGTGAAGAGTGCTAACATACTGTGCTCAAATCTTAATGCAACATTATCAGCACATCACAAGGTAAGAAGGGGAGGCAGAGCAAGGAGGGTGGAAACGACGATAGAACAAAGCATAAATTTCGCCGCGATCGCCACGCTACTGCCTCCCATGGCGCGACCGCTTACCGAAGGCCTCCTTAGCTGCAGGATGTCGCTTGGCGTCAAAGTCGGGGTCGGTGGCAAGACGACGAGAGAGCTGTTCGCAAACGTAGGCCCTGAACGCCTCAGATACGTGCTGTGGTGGTGGCTGCCTCAACTCCGACCCCTCATTGTCACCTGCCGTCACCGTTGAAGGCTCGGATGTAGCAGTCGCCATCTCGGCCGTCGACACTGAAGGTGGCGCAAGCGACATCGCCTCCTTGAGGAGGGTCATGAAGAGCTGATTGGCTGGACAGGCCAAACTCTGCTTCCTTTCCAGCATCACCTAAAGGCGTCAACCATCGAGGCGAAAATTTAAGTACTCAATTTATCTCCCACTGTTGCTACAAGCTGCTTTATTGTTACTGCTAGCCATAACGTAATAGTGATAAAACGTACTAATGTGAAAGTCATAACTTCAATTTTCAAATTTGACTTGAGTAGTAGATTATTCGAGAAGCGTTATTTATTGACGCGTACACAGTTCCACTTATTCGCACAATACACTGCACTTTGAATGGACTAAAATGACCTGACAACCGAATGGAGGTTGTGAAGCTAATGTCCAAGATTTGGATTCCAGAGCTTGTCAATTACGTGAAGGTAAGGATATCACCCAAAACAGATGACAACAGCTTGGACTCAAAGCAATATGTCACGTTCAACTTAAAGCGTTTTTAGAAAAGGTCCAAACATTTTTTTTCAATAATTGATCGGAAACTGAAATGTAGAAATTACTTGAATAGCCACCAATCCT